TTGCCCCAAACACGATGCGCTTCCGGAACCTCTTCCAACGCCCACATCTTCCTGATAGGCACCCGAATAGCTCCGCTCTCTAGCATGTCGAAAAGGGCTACTAACTCCGGTTTGAACGTCTTTTGATCGCGATCAATGTAGTAAAAGCTCGTCCTGTAGGGGCAGAAAGGCACCATCCCTCTTGCGAGTAGCTTTATAACCTGAGGTGGCTGACTACGAGGTTTTCCACCGGTGAGCAGGTCGAAGTTCCCACCGTAACCCACAAGAAGACCACCCTTCGCCAGGATGTTCCAGCTGTCGTCCCAAGATTCGAAGCCAAGAGCGTCGTATACGACGTCTGCGCCGCCCACGTCCTTCATGGCCTGCATCCAGTTCTTGTCGGAGTAGACGAAGGGCATGGCACCCGCTTCGCGGATAGCTGCGTGATTGACAGCTGATGCTGTCCCGTAGACTTCCGCACCTTGCATCTTGCAAAGTGTGAGAATAGCGAAACCGACGCTGCCGCTGATACCGTGGATGAAGACGCGCTGGCCAGCGGAGATCTTAGCGGCGCGGTAGGCTAGCCCGTAGGCTGTGTTCCAATTTAAGACCAAGGCGACTGCCTGCTGCAGATCGAGTCCTTCTGGCACGCTAACGAGATGTTTCTCGGGTTGGTTGCATAGCTCGGCTTCCGCATCGTATTTTGTGAGGCAGGCGACAAGGTCTCCAACCCGGTATTTTGTGCAAGCCGATCCATTTTGGTGCACGCGGCCGATAAGCGCGTAGCCCGGCGTCAATGGTGCTTTCCTTTGCAACGGGTAGGCACCTTGTCGCATGGAAATATCTGCACCACCCATGCTGGCGTAGAGAACCTTGATTTGGACATCGTTGGGGGAAGGCGCGGGGATGGGGGCTGTGACAACCGACACGTTTTCCGGACCGCCGAACTCTGAGATCAGGACTTTGCGAATGGATGTAGACATCTTGTGTTTCGAGTTTGAATCTGGTCAGCGTTTTTGTGTTTCGTCTTATTTGGGATGCAATCGATGGTGCTGAAAGGGCAATGTTGATGAAAGCTGGAATGATGGGTCATAATGACTGCTGTTGCGCGCACTCTTATGCTCATCGAGCCTTCCAGTACAACAAAACTTGCGACTCCCATCGAGGCGGAGTATGGGCTGATGCACTCTCATTCTCACTGTGAAGGTGGGTTGCGGAGAGTTCGTGGCTTCGAGATGGAGGCCTGACGCTGAGTGCGGAGGGACTGAGGGTCTCCTCGGGTAGATAATCTGCCCGTCTCGCGGAAGAGGTTAGCGGCTTACTCTTTTAGAAGCTAGCCCCAGTCGCAGACGGGGAATGATTGCTCAGGCGGGAGCCATCCACCTTAAAAAAGGTATTCAGCTCAGACTGTCGCCTGAAAGCTTATGCACGTCATCATAGCATTTGGAGTAATGCGCGCCAGTCGTAGATGCAACATGTGGAACGCGCTCTCACACACTTGAGACATTGCGTAACCTCATGTTCAGTGCATCGTCATCCTCACCAAAACAGCTCACTCTCAAATAAAGTATGGTGTTCGGATATCGTCAAAATTGACATTGCTTTGGCCTATCTCTTGAACACCCCTTTCTTTCAAACCTTAATTCCTTCCCTTTGCAGCTTCCTTGATGATATCTGCTGCCTTCTCCGCTGTCGCATACACAGTGGTCATGATGTGAGAAGCCGGAAGAATGGGCATGACACTGGCATCCACGACCCGCAGGCCGTTCACACCGTAGACCTTCAGCTCTTGATCTACAACACCGCCATCCTCTCTAGTACCCATCTTGCAGCTGCCAGCGGGGTGGTACAGCGTCGATGCGGTGCTGCGAATGAAAGCATCGATGTCCGCAGAGGCGGTGACATTGTTGCCTGGAACAGCTTCGAACGGATTGAGTGAAGCGATAGATGGTGTAGCAACGAATTTGCGAGCCCAGTGTACACCTTCGCGCAGGAGTGCAACGTCGACTTCGTTACGTAGGAACCCAACATCTGCGACTGGGCGATCGAACATGCTGGATGAGTTCGCCTTTACACTTCCACGCGAGTATGGATGCTGAAGTCCGAGCACCACGACGCCGTCGGCCCAGATGATCTCCATCATCGCAGAATCGTTGGCCCGGAGCTTCTTGTTGAGAGAAGCAAACTGTGCTTCATACCCTCGTGCGACTTCAGCGGGAGTATCAGACGGGAGAGAGGCAGATGATCCGCCTGCGACTGCCTGAGCCAAGATAGATTGAGTGGCGTTGGAATAGGTTTGAAGTGGCAGGAAGAGAAGAAAATCACCAGTCGGGGAGGTTAGTGGGCCAGACTTCTCGTTATCGTACTGCTCACGAGCTTGAGCGGCGAAAGTGGTGTTTGATGCCAGGGTGTTGGTCAAAACGGAAGTGTTGACTGCGCCAATGTTAGTATCTCTTGAGCTGAATCATATAATGGCCTACTTACGGACGTTCACCACGGCAACGGAAAGATGGTCGTGCAAGTTGTATCCGACAGCAGGAAGATCAACAACGGTGCTTACGTTGATGGATTCGAGTAGAGAGGCACCGCCGATTCCAGAAACCTGCAACAATTGCGGTGTATGCAAAGATCCAGCAGCAAGGATGACTTCTCGCTTGGCCTTGGTTTGTTGGCTCTCTGCATCTGCAGAAGTCGAGAACTCAACACCAGTAGCCTTGACCGTATTCGTCTCATTGCAGCTTTCCGTAAGGACGCGCGTCACAAGAAGGCCAGTGAGAAGATGATAATTTGGGCGCGGTTCGGCAGATGCATAGTAGGCTTCTTCTGCGGAAGAGCGTGTCCAGTTCATCGGAACCATGTTGTGTGGGCAGAAATAACCACCGAAGGCATTCCCAGTCGCCTGGTCATTGATGGAGATTCCCAGCTCCTTGGTAGCTTGTACAAGGTTTTCTGAACTAGTCATCAGTATCTTTCCACATGAACATGGTGCGTCAAACTCACTGTTCGTTGGCCAGAAGAAAGGAGAGTAGGTTACTTCCATGTATCCTTCATCGCCATGGTATTCCGGATTGACCTGGATGTCGTATTCGGCTTGGATCTCAGCAGTTGGTGGTGTGAATTTCTCGTTCTTTACACTGGTCAGAAGATGTCAAGAAACTGCCGAAAAGAACAAACCTTTTTGAAGTACTTCAGGAAGGTCTCGAAGTTCCAACCCTCGTTCCCCAAAGTCTCCCATCCATCATAATCAGATCGTGCGCCTCGGTCAAAAACCATGCGATTCAGTTTTGTTGACCCGCCCACGACCTTGCCTTGTGGAATAGAGACAACACGGCCGTCTAGTGCTTGATCCGGAGCATACGAAGTGTTCCAGTCATACTTCGTTCCTACAGCGCCGCCTGCAAGACCTGGGATGGTAACGTAGTCCTCGTTCTGGTCGCTGGAAACAAATCAGCATCGCGATGGGCGTGTGATTCATGCAACTTACAGATCACCAGCCTCGATAACGAGTACTGTCACATCTATAACAGAACGACGTTAGTGTTTTCCGTAAGCCGGGATACTGTGTAAGCCTACCCTTATCCTCGGAAAGTCGATTGGCAACGGTAAGACCCGACGCGCCGGCGCCTACGATGACATAGTCGTACTCTGGAAGAAGGTCTTCTGCTCTCGATACAAGCTGCGCATTGGATAGTGGATGTGCAAAAAGACCAGTCGCAGAAAGCGCGACAGTCGCTCCGAGACTCAAGAGAGAAGGCATGATCACAGCGTACAGTAGCGAGCGTGTGTATTGTCCCCACGAAAGAGTACTTGGGTATATGTACCTAAAGAAGGTCGAGGTAACCGTAATGACACCGGCGGTCGGGCCGCCCGCATCTGCCGATGTTCAACACCAAGGGCCCAGCCGAGACCAGTCCATGATATTCGTCAACATATAGCGCATGGCGCGTTGGCGAGTTTCCGATTTATAATGGTTCGGCGGCTTTTATCCTGTGTACGCGATAGTTTTCAAACAAAAGCAGATTAGCGGAGGCGGAATCTGACGCCAGTAGATCCTCCGACCTTATCCGGGGAGTGAGCCGTGTTGGCGTTTTCCCGGGGCCGCTGATTCTGGTGGCTTGGAAGGATCGGCATGATGAGAGCGTGATTGGTTTCGCTGCATCGGTTCGGTGCTTCGCTGGAAGCGGGCTGTGTTCAGTGGCTTGAGGGCGATTATGTCGTGCCTTGTATGAGGCCATTTATCGGCCCTGCCCCAATATCTGCGGGATCTTGCTGTCGTGTTGCGGCACAGTTGTGTGTAGATCACGTGTTTTCTGCGGCAGTGGACCTCGGCCCGGGCGGCTCTTGCCCCCCTGGGCAGGTGGGCTCGCTTGCAGCTTGCGCGTTGGCGACTTGAAAACATCCGATGCAGATACGCAATACAACCACACCAATTTTGCGATACGAAGTCTCAGCCTGTATGAGACTGCCGATGCGATATCAGAAACCGAGCGATGTAAAGTTCGTTTCGCGTTAAGGTTTAGAGATAGATGTCAAGTCGCGGGAGGCCTTGCGAGAGTAGCGCCCCTATACACGTGGTGCACTACTCAGGTGGCTATGTCATCGCAGTCGCCCAAGGAATAGACTAATGTTTGATGGCATCCATGTCCGCTACGCAATCCTCACATTCGCACTCAGAGTTGCGTCACGAGCCGCATTGAGTGGCCCCAATTCAAAATGAGATCAGATCGATAGACAATCATTCGGCAACAGAAAGCCTTGCATGGCAAACGTGTTTACTCACTGTCGTGTTCGCTATAACGCACTGCAAAATAACGTGATCTCGGCATTGACTAAAATACCCTATGAGACCTATCTCGAGAGGTGAAGAATAACGCCGAACACCCAAAGCGCGAAACAGCCGACATGTGCACCAAATGACAGAACGGTTGGTACCTCCTGCCTCGCAAGATCAACGTGACTGCTCACACAACAGTGTGCTGGGAATGGCAACATCGCCATGAACAAAGTTGGCCGACTTCAATCTAGATAGGAAGAGAAGCGTCGGTGTCGGTGGCTGTCGACCACATACTCCTAGTTTCTTCCCGGTCTGCCCTCCTTCTGGCTTCGTCATCGTCTGCCCCACCATCCATCATACCGAGTGCTTTCTGCCTCAAGTTCAGCACGACCATGAGATGCTCTGCACTCAATCGTTCCTTTTTCCTCGCCGCCAAGATCTTTGCAGTCTTGATCGCGCTCTTGATCTGACGCCCGTTGAAGTTGAGCTTTGCCAGTTTCTCCAGTTCAGCTTCTCCGACATCCACATCTTGCGCATTGATAGTAGCTAGGAAGTTGCGCCAGACTTGAAGGCGATCACTTTCTCCAAGCGAGCTGTAGCTCAGCGTGATATCGATCCGAGATTCGAAAGCAGTGTCGATACTGCGCATCCGATTCGTGGTCAGAATCATGATGCCTTTGTAGTATTCGAGTAGGCGAAGGAAGACTGAAACGAGCTCGTTGCGTTGGAGATTGTTCGTAGTACGCGCCTCCATGAACACATCAGCTTCGTCGAGAAGTAGGACGGCACCGAAATGTCCACACAGATTCAGCGCGTTCTCCAAACTATCCTCAACGGCACGCGCCGTCGTTCCCAGATCACCAGCCCCGAGCTTATAGAGAGGACGACGCAGGTGCTCAGAGACGGTCTCTGCGGTGAGTGTTTTACCCACGCCTCTTTTGTTGGTGTCTAAAGTCAGTACATGTCTCATAGGCCGTGCGTACTGGGCTACTTACGGAGGGCCGCAAAGCAGCATGATCATGCCTTGGCCTTTACCAACTACAAAGTCGTCGAAGGGATTTCCTTGCTTGAACTGATCGCGGTCTACCAGAGCCAAGACCAGGTCCTTCTCGTCCTGATCGAGGACTAAGCTGTCGAAAGCATGCTCAGCCCAAGGTATCTCGTGAATCTTAGTCACATCTAGCTTCTCCCACTTCTTCTTCTCAATGTCGAAACACTTGACATAGTGCACAGCGAGAAGGCATTCGTCATCGGTCATCGGTGAAAGATCGAGTTCGATTGGCGATCCCGGGGTGCTTGCCACACTGGAGGAGTAACGGTTCATGGATTGGGCCCACGTTAGCTGGCCTATCTCAGACAGTTTAGCGTATTCTGGAAACGGCATCGCAGACTGGTATTTGTGGTATGCTCGTGCGTCAATAACCATTCGTTCGTTTACACGTTCTTCGTGTTGGTCGGTAAAGGCTTTGAAGAAATGGCCGCGTAGTTCTTCGAACCGACGGCCTCGCTTGATGAGTCTTCCGCGGATACTCTCTTGATCAGGAAGACCTTCGAGAGGCGATACATCCAACGCAGTCAAGGCTCGTAAGCCCTGATATTGGAAAACGCGTTTCAGTTGAGCAAGGAGACCACATCGCCTTCCGTCCCAGTCAACCACATCGACGCCTATGTCCCAGAATGTTTTTGGAGCTGGGGGAGGAAGGCAATGAAGATTACAATACCTCACAATCCCGACCGAGTCAGTCTCATGGTCCATAACCATCATGCCAGGGATGAGAACCAAGTTCAGGTCCCGGAACGCAATATGCCCAGTCATCTTTACATCGCGGATCTTCTCGAAAGACTCTTGGAGTAGGGGCTCGAGAACTTCCTGCAGTAGCTCAAGATGTTGCTCGGTCTCCGACTCTGGTTCGACATTATCCTTGAAGCTAAGCATCGCTTCCCATCGATGGACGAATGGAAGAAACGGTGGTGCAAACGTCTTCATTTCGTGCTGTGTCAAGCCTGGGTAACCTTCGAGTATCTTTTCCAGCGCAGCGTGAAGGAGCGTGCTGTTGATTCGTAGTTCATGGATTCTCCATTCATCTAGGCACTCGTCGAAACGATGGTAGACGTTTACCGCGAAAGCTTCCCGTGCTTTCTTCGTCCGAAGTTTGTCTCCTGTAGCACCGTATACCGGCGGCTTCTCATCCACCCAGTGATATCTGTTCGGATCCTCATCGGTCGGGACGCGGTATATGTCTCGGTAGTCGCAGCGCTTGCCCGTCTCGACGGCCTCCATTAGGTCGTCTGCGGCGGGCAGCTGTTCACCTGGAAGGTACGCATGCGGAGCGAACCCAGGTGGCGGACCCAAGCTTGGATCCCAAGCGCCTTGATACATCATCTAAAGCGGATTAGTGGGTCACTGGGAGTTCAAGATGCAGCGGTGATGTCTAACCATCTGTTGGTTTGGCACAGGCCTTGCCCCGCGTGGACGTCGCGATCGTTGGCTACTGACATCGTGTTGCGGTGGCATAGGGGGAAGACCACACATCTTCTCAAAGACGAGTGTGCAAAGGAGTGAACGTTTTGGTAGCTCCGACAAGGCTGAACGTGGACAGAGGAGATCACAATCGAGGAATCGCAAGATCACAGTGCTGAATACTGTCGGAACAGATGACAATGCTGGAGTAGTCGCAGAAGCCGTGAAGCTTATGTCCTGAGCAGAGTTTGACGAGAGTGTCGCCGGATATATGGCTACTCGTTGATGGATGCCTGATGAGACCGGTGAACCTCATGCTACACAACAGCCTCCCATCCAATTGGCTAGAGACCGGAAGTAATGCCCCGCACCTCAACAAGATTTCAGCAGGGCAATAATAGGGCAACAAGATAAGGTGATACGAGGTTCGCGCGTGAGTGGATTTAGAGCACCTGATCGTACACTGCATCTGAGGTATGCCCAGCTCCACCGCTGCCGCTTGTATCACTATAGCCAGCACTAGCTCCCCCATCGAAGCCGCTGCCGTCAGTGTCCGCATACCCAGAAGAGCTGTGACTTCTAGGCGAAACACTCTCAGTTTTCCCGCTCCCATTGTCATCCTTTGTGGAACTTGTAGAGCTCGGATGTACGCTGCCTATTGAATCGTTGTTTCCGAAGCGCGTAGACTCGTGATGCGCAGAGGACGCAGAACCGTGCTGGGACAAGTCTGGCCTCTCATCGTGTCCTGTGCCGTAATGATGATGATGATCGATCTGAGCAAAGGGACCAAAGAGCAAGGTCCGAATCGCAGGATCCGTCACATCCTGAACCCTGGGTGTATTCAACCCACGCGATCGGTATTTCGGCGGAAGAGGGATAGCAGTGTCTATTGGTTGCACAGGCTCGATGCTGGCGACTGGATTCAATTTGATGAGGCGAGAGAGCGGTTTCTTGGAAGTCGATAAGCCCGCGGTGGCTTGCGAGGTTTCGGTGCTGACTGTCTGTGGTTCGCGTGCTCGCCGATGGCGCAGTGCGGAGAACTAATGACCGTCAGTGTATTGCAGTAGCCATTCGGTTTGATACTATACTATACAACACATTGTCGCTAAAGTTTACGGGGCGTTGGTGTAAGCTGAAAGCACACCGACAGCTGATGCGAAGTGAGGATGCCGAAAGAGACCGATCGAAAGCATAGAACAAACAGCAAGCGGGTTGGCCGGTTATGTTACGCATACATGGCCATACTTGCAGCAATGTCATAGCCTCGTTCCTGGCTCGTGATACTTGAGGAGCCGAAGCACAGCCTATCCGAGGTACCGTGGCTCCGCATGCCTGATACGGAACGATCACAACATTGGGAGTTCGTAAAGTTTGGCTCTTTCAAGATGCCCAGGTGGTGTCGGGATCGAACGTGGTCTTGTGAAGCGCACATGTTGCTATGTCGCGCAACACCTCATGACTTGATTTGGGACAGCATGTCTTCCTCCGATTCTGCAGGGCGATACATGAGAGGCCGCAGCGGGATTGCGGATTGGACTGGTGAAATCCCGGAGGGACTCAGGAGGTGCGTCCGCAACCTTGGGATTACCCCGCGACGACGCGTCAGTACGATCAAGTATAGACTTTCGAGCGTGCCCAACCGCACGCCCCTAGGCTGTGTGTAACGACGATGTTCGCGATGATACGTGGCCTGATGGTGGGATGAATAGTGGTGTTGAATGTGTTGGTCGCAGGAGACGCGAACAGACACGTCCATCCATTAGCAAGAGCGGCCAGCGCTTCGCGCTTGCGCTAGGCCGGCATCATCGCTCGCACATTGACTCTGCTACACCACTCCTTCACAACACCCAACCTGTGTGATCTCATACCACTGTTTCACGTAGGGCCGAATCCTGTGATAACAATTCAAGATTTCTCGACGCCTACACTGCGCAGCGATGCGAACCGTGAGCAGATCTCCGAGAGTATGACATCATCGCAGTCTGGCCTTCCACATTGAATACGAAGCGCAAGGGCTGTCGGAAGGTCACCCCAAGTATGGCATGGACTCCTGTACTCAGCGAAAAGAAACACAATATACAATGGAACATTGTAACATCCATCACTTGAGTTACTTTGCTATCCGCGCTGTAGGTGAAGAGCCGCTTACGATGACCTAGCGGTACACAGCTGGGTCTTTCTCCTGGCGTATCATTGCTAGAGAATTGCGCATCCAGGGATGGTCAGCGCTTATAATCTGAGACACTGAGCATCACGTCTTGCCACAGACTGCCACGTCGACGGCACGTGACTAAGTCAACCCTTGTGCAAATCACTTCACCGCTCCACTCAGTAAACAAGGCACCGTGGCAGGATACGGGAGCGGATTGACAGCATGCGATAAGTCATAGCTGGCAGTTGGAGATTTATCTACGGATAATACAACTGTCATGTGCAAAGCCATTCACTCATCAAAAAAAGTTTCGCGGTCTATATCTCAGGGTCTGCTACATCCTGTTGAACGACCCCACGGACCCCTGCATACCTCAATCTACGGCACCACTTAAACTCGATACTGGGCTATTACGTCATACCTCTTTGCAATCGCGAAGTTTGCCATGTGCTACCACAACTATTCTCAGCATAATGGGTGAGTCCTTGTGGTTCGCGATGCCTTTATGGGAGCGCGGTTCTTGTGGGAAGAAGCCTCTCTGACAGCTTTGTATGTAGTTGCGGCCATATTGGCGAATCGCATACGCAACCATGGACGCTGTGCGACACGGCGATCCAAAATCTGAACGCCCTCCGCGGGCCAAACTCCCCACCAATCTCTTCGCCCACAGCAAACTATACATCACCGCCAAAGCGCAGCTCGTCCACGCGACGCTTCTTTTCGTTGAGCGGACAGCTTTCGCGGTCTTCTACTAATGCCTCGACGAATTCGCGTCGCGCCGTTTCTGGCCCCTCAGGCACGACAACGCCCCGAACTTCAGACTCAAGCTCGGGGTCCTACAACTATACCATGGCACTGGATTATAGCACCTTGCCAGACCACCAGCTCGCAGCGGTGAAATGCGCAAACCCGATCAAGCGCACGCATGTTAGTAGGGACATGGTGGTCTGTAAAGATTGCGCACGCGAGATCAGCCATATGCGCAACATGATTCAGCGATACGACAAGACAGGTAGCATCCGTGGCACCGCCGCGTTTGAGAAGTTCTTGAAATGGGAGGGAGAAGGCGGAGGAGAAAGGGAGGGCGACTTGACCGTGCCAGTGGACGATGACAACGATGGTGGGTCGTTTGGAGCTAGACAAGCTATTATCATGGGCCATCCAGAGAGTGTCATGAACGCTGAGGGGCCGAGGGGCTTGGGGACGCTCGAACGAGAGGGAGGATATGATTATCGCTACTGAAAAACAAGACGTGTTGTGAAAGAGTCGGAGTGAGGGGAAGCGGCATGTAACGAAGACGTCTTTAGGTTTTATGGATAGCACGGATGGCACTTACGCAACCTTTACATCGCTCCAAGCTCAATGTGGTCCGGCCCCTCCCGCAGCTTACCACTAGCCTGTCATGGCATGCAAGTATGAATTTTGAGTCTCCGCTTTATACTGCAACAACAGCATCACGATGAGTGCTGATCTCCGCGAGCTGTGAAAGATCATACGAGAATCGAACGACAGGTCGGCCGCGCTGGTCTTGTTGTTCCGCGGTTGCGATATGCATACACAAAACCTACGCAAACTATTTCCATTAACGAACCCATGCATGTTAATCACCGAGATCATGCAAGAGCTGCAATGCTTAGGTCAGACTTGCACTGATCCACTGCTCCTCGTACGTTCTGATTAGCTCGGTGGCAACCTCCTCCACCGCATCCCTACTGTCTATGTTCAAGACACATATTCCAGTACTGTGGAGTATATCGCACGCACCCAAGAATTGCGCATTACTACTTGCTTACAAGGAAACGGAGTTGCGCATCACTAGCAGCCACCAATTCGGCGCTTTTCGCCGTCTGCGCCACCTGCCTCCAACACGACGCATCGGAGCTTCCACTTTCGGAAGCAGCGTGAGGATGGACGGCGAACATATAAGTTTAAAGCAAGTCTTAAGTCACGGAAATGCGGCTAGATAGCATTACTGGCTTACGTACCACGTCTTAGGTCTTAGCTGTCTGGGCTTCGCATGAGTTTGTAGGTAGATACCGTATGGGAACTTCTAACGTATACGTGATGCAAAGTTGAATGTGGTTACTTCCAGGACTGCATCGCATCGTGATCTGAAAACTGGTCACTTTAGGGCTCGGTCAAATTTGCCGACGATGCTTCCATCACTGGCTGTATCCTTTGGGGATTTCCAAGGCTGCAGTAAAGCTCTACCTTAGGAGTGGCAGATCTATCTTTTGCAACTCGAATATCAGATGAATTGAGGCTCTAATGGTAATTCCGATATATGGCGTGACTTGCACTCCTTGGGGTCCATGAAAGTCCAGAGGCGCTTTGGGTAGACATTCCGCGGAGCCTTGTGGCCTCTGCGGCGGGCGCCAACATTGGTGTACCCGCACCTTCGCTTCGCACTTCCTGGTCGACTCAAGATCTCGATGCGAACTCCCTGTTCAAGTAGTGATAGTGAAGGTCGCCTCTCGTTCGTCGGTTTTGCCGTCCGCTTCCAACGGCGCCGCCTAGGTACTGCCTAGTACGTTCTAGAACGAGTAATTTGTTCGGTAAACAACCGTGCGGTCTCGTCTTATCACTGAATCAGGCTTTTGACAAGGAACATACGGTGCTTACTTCCGCGATGCGTAGCGATGAAATCGAGACAACGGTACAGCATTGG